TGAATCCCCCTTGTTATCGATGCCACTGAACTGCATGTGAAAATACATATTTCCCAACAAGCATAAACAAGCATAATGCGACGAATGATACAGCATGTTCAAGAGCAAGGTATGAAGGGGATTTAGCATATGGAGCAACTTCTTTACAACACCCTACAATCAACATCAAAACATAAGAATCCTTATTCAACCTTGCAAGTAATGAAATAGGAGGGAATATGTAGTTTGATTGCAAACAAATATGTGAAGTCCCTCAATAATACTACAATTTATATACTAATGTTGGCAGTTAATGTGTGGAGTTCACCCTGCAAAAATGAACTTAAATCTGAGCCCGATACTTCATGTGAATGAATAGGTGTTGACATGGTTCGAACTGTTAAACAAATATACGATTGCTATATTGACCGAGATACTTTGCTTCATAGTTCATGTTAGGCCATCAAGATCTATTAAATGAAAGATTCATTGCTAAAGGTTTATCATCAAGAAAGTTCATTAACAAACTCAACTCTGTCAGCATCTAGATATAGTCGACAATGTTCAATAGATAATTATGAAAAATACCCCCCAAATACTCGTATGGGTCTTGACAAGCATGTTATGGGTACGCACGTGATGTTTAGGTATGCTATGCGGATCAAATGATGAACCCAAGTTCGAGCACGATTCTTTTACATGGGTAAATAGGAGTCGAAATGGCTCGAAACATCAAACAAATGTACAATCGCGGTGTCAACCAAGACATTTGTTTTATTCGTTCATATTAGATCTTCAAGGCCCATAACAAAGGAAAATTCACTGATAAATCCTAAAGTCTACTACGAATATGAACTTCTGTTAAAAATTAGACGGAGTTGACAAGATTAGACCCATAATTATAAAAATGCCCCCAAATATCCACATGGGCCTTTATGAGCATAGTGTATACACATACGTGATGTTAGATGATGTTACACGGATCAAATGATGAACCCAAGTTTGAGCCTAATCCATCTATGTGGATAGATAAGAGTCAACATGGCTCGAACCATAAAATAAATACCTCGATCGATACCGCGACCGTAGGGTATTCATTTTATACGTTCATGTTTGGCCTTCAAGGCCAATAAATAGGAAATTCACAAATAAAAGCATAAAAGCTAGAAACGAATCCAATCGCCTGTTAAAAATTGGAAGGAGTCGATAAGGTTTAATAAATAATTGAAAACATACCCACCCTAAATACTCACATGGGTCCTGACGAGCTTGTTATGGGTACGCACGTGACGTCTAACGATGCTACGCAAGTCAAATAATGAATCTAAGTTCGAGTATGATCCTTCTATGCGAATAGAGGAGTTGACATGGCTCAAACTATCAAACAAATGTACGATTATGGTGTCGATTGAGACATTTGTTTTATAAATTTATATTAGGCGTTGAAGGCCTATAAATAATTAAAATTCACCAACAAAGGCATAAGGCTTGTAATGAACCCAATCTTCAATAAGATTCAATCCACAAATAAAACTGCCCAAAACTACCCCGATAATGGTAGTGTTGAACGTAGATCTTAACCAGAGGAGAATATCAAATATTGAAAATTCCTCCATAAACCAATGAAAATACCAAAAATATCAAATCCAAAATATTTAAAATTGAAATTAACTGTTAAAATGCTTAAAGAAAAATCTATCCACCCTCCGCAACAATTTGTTGAGGTGGATAAATTTAAATCACTTTAGCTCACAAATTTTAATATCAATTCAGCTCACAAAAAGCTAATATCTGGTCGAGAATATCACTAGGATTAATTCTCATTCTCACAAAGAGCTAATTTTAATCCACAAATTTTTGAAACTCACATCTATAAACAATAACCAATGAAAGCGACTAAAATCATATACATCAAATTATTTTACTATTTATTTACCCAAAATATTATTTACACTAGCTATGAGATCACTCTATCACTAATCTACCTTATGCTCCTAACTATAAAAGAATAAATGAAAATAAAAAATAACATTTAAAGAAAATCTGAGGATCTCTACAATTTAAGCAAACTGGTGTTGACCCCTTCTCTAACATGAAATCATTAAAAATCCACATAAAGAACTCAAAAGCCCAGCATTAATCCAAAACTCATTAAAATTTTCAATACAATGACTAAATATATGATATGTTCAATCTAATATAATCAATAACAGTCAATATAGTTAATGACCAAATATTATCAATAAAATTTAAAATGATCAAATAATAAAAGTAGGAAAATATTACAATGAATCTAAAAATTAATAATTGCTATAAAATTCAATAAATCTATAAAAAATGGTTAAAAAATCATTCATAAATCAATAAAGAAATCTATCTTATATATTCATATGCCTCATCCATTTATGTATTATTAATGTATTCAATACTATCAATGATACTAATGTATCTATTAATATTATCAGTGCTATCAATATATATATATATATATATATATATATGTTAGCAAGGCAAGAGATACAGCTTAATGTGTGTTTTTAACATCTTTTACCCCAACTGATTTCAAGTTGATCATCAGTCATATCAATTATCACTTTTAATCAATTATCATTACAGGTGACTTAATTAAATCAATAAAGAGTCGTCACTCTCTGTCCGTCGACATAACCAATCATTTGTTAGAAGCTACAAACAGGATAACACCACAAATCATATTTAAAAGAAAGCTCGTCGACCCACCCTCCTGCGCAGGATATTATGTTTTAACAGCCAACTCATTTTATAGTATTAATAACTAACCTTTTGTAACATGCAAATGCCACAATAAAAATGCAGTAGAAAATAATCAATTCTATTTAATATAAGAAAATCTTTATAACAAGCAAAATTATTGAAAAAAAAATGAAATGTGTTTTTTACAAAAAATAAAAGATTGATAGATGAAAAAATCCTGAATAACCTTCTCTCTCTTCTTCGACAAGGAAAAATGCTAAAATTAAAAATTTTCATTTAAAAAAATCATTTCAAAAAAGTTCGAATTATCACAGCCTTCACTATGCATATCTTGTAAAAATATTTTAGAAAACAAATAAATATTTCAAATGTGTTCAATAGAATTCCCCTTAAGAACAACTACTAAAATCAATGCAGCAATTGAGGCATAGGATCGTGCAATAGAGTTCAACAAATGTTAGGATTGAATTGAAAATTTATGTAAGACATCAACCAACGATTATTTAGACCCATAATAAAGTTAAAGCCAAACTCGAATTTGAAACCAAAATTGGCTAGAGCACTGTCGTAACTCAGTCAATTTATTAGAATTTAAGTTGCTACACATGGCTTTTTAGTTTGACGATGAATTGAGGACATCTTGCGATGAATTCAAATCTTTTAAAAATGGCTAGCACATGCTCGAGCTACTTGTGTGATTCAACCTATCATCAACACATACTCTCCCACTCCAACAATCCAATTCAAAATACTAGAACCTATTTGAGCTCCTTGCTTGATTCAACTAATAATCCAAACAACCACTCTTGTTCCCCACCAAATTTTAAATTATATTCGCATTCTATAAAATAAATTTTAGGCATAACCAAAACAACTTCAATCACATTCCAACAAGTTCAGGGCAGAGAGGAAAAATTGGAAAAATTATTTCCATCTCAATTGTCACTTGTGAATTCTTTTTTTTATTATTATTATTTAGACCTATATATAGAGGTCTTTTGCATTGTATGAGGTTAATGATGAATAGAAAATTTTCAGCTTTTCTTTGTTCTTGTTGCTTGTGTGCTTTGGAGAGAAGAGAGAACCCTAAGAGAGGGCCAATGTAATACCTGACAGCCACTGGAAGGTTTGGGCTCTCGGTTCTACCTTTCTTCTATTCTCTTCCTATCTTTTTCTACTTTCTTCCCATACCGCCAGCGTCCTCTTGATTTCCCCTCCCACCACCTGTCCCCTCTCTTCTTCCCTAACCGAACCCCTCCCTACTCCATAGCCGTCGGCCTCCCTTGGCTACCCTAGCCGCCGGCCAACCCTCACATTGCTTCCTCTAGCCGCCGGCCGCCCCCTCTAAATTCCCTCCATGAATTGTGAATTTCAAAATTCAAACCTCCATTAATTACCTTCCTAAAATAGCTCATATTAATTTGGAAAGTGTATTTATTTGAAATTAATTCTCCATTTGAATTTCAAATACTTTCTTCTTTGATAATCCTTAATTAGGAAGCCTCCCAATTACATTAAATCTAAACTAAATTCAAATTTAATTCCAATCTCCAATTAATGCATATGGCCCACATACATTGAACCTAAACACTTATTTCTCCTCCCCATATGGCCGGCCCCCCTCTCTCCTATTTTCTCTCTCCAATTTAATCCCTAATCCCTCATTAATTATCCATAACTCCATTAATCTGATAGGAAATACTTGAGTTCGCAAGTAACCCTAAGAGAATACTTGAGTTCACAAGCAAACATAATCGAAATTAGCAAGAAAGCAGAGAGAAAACTGTTGTTTACAACAGTAAATCAGCCCAATCACAACAGAATTTGCACAGAAATAGCGAGAAACTTGGAGAAACATAAAGGAGTTCACTAGTAGATGCAAGAAAGCAATAAAAGATACAATATTCTTCAATTCGAGAGGAAGAACAACTCTCCACAAGTCTCTAGCAAACCCTAGAGCCCAAGCACAAGATAAGATCCCAAATTTTCTTTCAAATTCAAGATGATCTCTAATTCCCTTCTATTCCCCTAAATAACATCAAAGAAGAATTACAACTTACCTAATCATCCCTTACATTCAAATCTTTCCCCCCAAAATTTGCATTAAGCCCATCATGGGGCCTACAGAAGTTCTGCCCCCCTCCATGTTGTTTCTTCTGTCGGGCATAGACAAGGACCGATCCAACTTGAACTGGTCCAGCCTGCCCCGGCGGGGCCGGCGTGGGAGTAAGCATAACATTACTCCCCTCCAAAAAATTCACCTTGTCCTCAAGGTGAAAAGAGGAAAATTACACTTTCACTCTTTCAAATGGTTCCCAAGTAGCGTCGAAATCAGGGAGATCGTTCCATCGAATCAGCACTTCCTCATTGCCCTCTTTATCTGATCTTACCCCTATAAGCTCCAGAGATTCTAAAATCACTTCCCAATCCTCCGTCATTATCGCTGGTAATTCTGCACTAACTGCATACTCCCCTATAACACTCCTCAACTGAGACACATGGAACATTGGGTGTATGGTATCGGTGGAAGGCAACTTTAGGCGGTAGGCCACTGCGCCAATCTTGTCCATAATCTCATAAGGGCCAAAATACCTTGGTGCTAATTTCTCATTCCTCCCGTCACTATGCTTTGCCTGTACGGTCATAATTTTAGGAATACTTTCTCCCCTACTTCAAACAGCATGTCTCTCCTGTGTGAGTCCGCCTGCTTCTTCATGATTTATTGTGCCCTCAGCAAATGTGTCTTTAACTCCTCCAGCACCTTGTACCATTCTTCCAGGTAATGCACAACTGAAGAAACCGGTGTACTTCCTCTCCCATAGTGCACTAGATGTGGGGGGTCCCTTCCATATAGTACTTTAAATGGAGTCATCTAAGAGGCAGAATAGTACGATGTATTGTACCAATACTCAGCCCATGGCAACCACTTCGCCCACAACTGCGGTGTTTCAGAAGCAAAACACCTCAAATAGGTCTCCAAACATCGGTTTACCACCTCCGTTTGCCCATCTGTCAGTGGATGGTAGGCGGTACTTCTTTTTAGGACAATGCCCTGCATCATAAACAGCTCCCTCCAAAACTGGCAGAGGAATACTTTGACTCAATCAGACACAATCGATTCAGGAATCCCATATAGTCTCACAACCTCCCTGATAAATGTTGTTGCTACTGACAGTGCGGTTGTAACGATGTTGTAAGAGAATGAAGTGCGCATATTTGCTAAGTCTATCAACCACCACCATGATGACTGTGAACCCCTTTGATCTTGGTAAGCCGTCGATGAAATCCATGGACACTTCCTCCCAAACTCTGTTTGGAAGTGTCAATGGTTGTAGCAATCCTCCTGGAGCCATGGCCATATATTTGTTTCTCTAATACACTTCACATCTCGCCACCATTTCCTCAACATATTTATGTATCCGCTTCCAGTAGAGCTCAGCTGCTAGCCTCTTGTATGTCTTTTGAACTCCTAAATAGCGTCCAACTGTGCTGCCATAGAACTCGTACAACAAGTGGGGAATATGTATGGAGGTTCATGGAATCACAAACCTCGCTTGATACAATAATCTCTCTCCCTCAATGTAGTAACCAGGATGGCTACTCTTATCTTTCCTCAAATCTTCCTTGATCATTCTCAATTCTTCATTCAGCATGCTTTCTTTCTTGATGGCCACCAGTCGACCATAAAAGGTACAAATACAGTCAATTCCTGGAGCTCCCCCACCCACCTGGATAAAGCGTCAGCTGCTTTATTTTTCAAGCCTGGCCTGTATTGAATCTCGAAATCATAGCCCAATAGTTTGGACATCCATCGCTGATGCTCCTCAGTTACCATTCTTTGCTCCAATAGGTACTTTAAGCTGCTCTGATCATTCCAAACAATAAAGTGTCGACCCAAAAGATAGGGGCGCCACTTCTGAATAGCCAAGATAATGGCCATCAGCTCCCTCTCGTACACTGACTTCAGTCTTGCCCTGGTTGATAGCACTTGACTGAAGTATGCTATAGGCCTGTAGTTCTGCATCAGCATTGCCCCCAACTCATATCCTGATGCATCAGTCTCTACTACAAAGACCTGGCTAATGTCTGGAAGAGCTAAAACAGGAACAGTGGTCAAGGCTTCCTTTAACCTCTCGAAGGCCTAGGTCGCTGCCTCTCCCTAGGAAAAAATTGTCTTTCTTCAGCTGCTCAGTCAAAGGACATGCAATGGTATCGTACCCCTTCACAAATTTCTTGTAATAACCAGTCAATCCTAGGAAACCCCTCAACTCTCTTATGTTCCTAAGCAAGGGTCATTTCTGCATTGCCTCAATTTTGGTTTGGTCCACCGCCACTCCTTCCTGGGATACCACATGTCCCAAATACTCCATACTTGCTTGAGCAAAGCTGCATTTCTTCAGGTTGGCATTCAACTAATGCTCCTGAAGCACTTCTAAGACCACGCTCAAATGTTCCAAGTGCTCCTCCACAGTCTTGTTATACACCAAAATGTTATAAAAAAGACCAAAACAAACTTCCTGAGGTGCTGCTTGAATATCCTGTTCATCAAAGACTTAAAAGTAGCATGAGCATTAGTCAATCCAAAGGGCATTACCAGAAATTCATAATGCCCTTCATGTGTCTTGAAGGCTGTCTTTGGGACATCTACCTCCCTCATTCTGATATGGTGGTATTCGGATTTTAAGTCCAACTTGGAAAACATCACTGCCCCATATAGCTCGTCCAACAGCTTATCAATCACCGAAATTGGGAACTTGTCTGGTACAGTGCCCCTATTCAGAGCCCTGTAATCCACACTGAATCTCCAACTCCCATCCTTCTTCTAAACCAGGTGAACTGGACTAGAAAAAGAGCTAACGTTGGGTCTGATGATCCCCGCCTCCAGCATTTCCTGGATCAACTTCTCAATCTTATCTTTCTGAATCTATGGGTAACGGTAAGGCGGACGCTGATTGGTGTCTCCCCTTCCATCAAGGTAATGGCGTGCTCCAACTCCTTCAGATGAGTAAACCCTATGGAGGTTAAAAAATCTCGTTGAACTGGTGTATGAGTGGCTACACTGAAGAGAGAACATTGTCTTCTTCCTCTAGTCTAACCCCTTCCAGGCAATGCAACTCCACCAAGTAGCCTCCTCCTTCCTCCTGAATGGTCGTGATCAAGGATTTGAGAGAAACCCCAGCCTTGGTGAGCCCAGCATCACCCTGAATCATCCTGCTTCCTCCCCCCATCACCAGCCTCAGTGTACCCCAATTGATCTTGATCTCCCCCAATGTCTGCAGCCACTTCATCCCTAAGATGATGTCAGCACTCCCCAATTCCAAGGGAAAGAAGTCCCCCCTCACCTGGATCCTCAGAATCTTTAGCACCACCCCTCTACAAACTCCTCTACCCATTTCCACCTTGACCGTGCCCATCATCACCACATAGCCTCCAGTATCCACTAACCCCATCCCAAGTAGCTCAACGATCTGGGTGAAAATGAAATTGTGGGTTGCCCCACTATCTATCAACACCACCACCTCTCAGTCAGCTATCTCTCCTTTCACTTTCATAGTATGACTTGGAGTGAATCCCACTACAGAATTCAGAAAGACTTCTGCGACATCCAGGTGCAATTTCTCCTCCTCTTCAGATCTGCTCCCACCTCCCTCCTCGTCTTCCTTGTCTTCACAGACAAGGAAAACCTAAAGAATTCGGTCCTTGCACATATGCCCCGGCATGTACTTCTCATCACATCTGAAGCACAACCTCTTTGCCCTCTTCTCCTGCATCTCCTTCTCCGTCAACCTTTTGAACTGTCCTTTGTTTCCCCCTCAAGTTTTTTTCATTTGACACTTCCTTCAGACTCCTTTGTGCTACTCCTTTAGAAGGAAAGAAGGTGGTAGTCATCCTGTATGATCCCCCTGAATAGTTTTCTCGAGCCCCTCTTTCTGATTTCTTCTGATCTTCCACCAACTGCGCCAGCTCCATAGCCTTTCCTAGATTCCTCAGCTCCAGCACCCTGAGTGCTGTTCGTATCTTAGGTTTAAGCCCCTTCATAAAGTTCTCTTCCAGGGCTGACTCCGAAATATGATCCAATCTGCTAGCCAAGTACTCAAACCTGTCTTGTTAATCTGCCACAGTCCCCTCATGAGTCAAGGCAAAGAATTGTTTATAGAAGTCTCCTCCCACATCGGCTCGGAAATGCTCTAATAAGCAATCTTTGAACTCTCTCCAGCTCCTGATGGGCTCCCTCCTATCACGCCACTGATATCATGCCAAGATTTTTCCTTCCAGACATAATCCCGCTGCCGTCAGTTTATCTTCCTCCATCAACCCATTGACAGCAAAGTAACACTCAATCTTGTAGATCCAGCCATGGCCATCTTCACCCTCAAAGAAGGGCATCTTTAGCTTCCTTACATGTGGGTCTCCCCCGTTTCCCCTGAATCCTAATTAACCTCCTATTCCTCGAAAAGGAGGTGCTCCCAAACTATCACGATCTTCCCTCCGGCGAGTATACCCGAACCCTTCATCGTATTCCCCTCTTCTCCCTTCAAATTCATCACCTCGGCAATGAAATTATTCCCTTCTCCCGACGAAATCAACACCCCTCTGATTATTTTCCAAACTCATCTCCTCTCTAGAAAGTGGCTCTAGAGATGGCAAGTCATCCTCTCCCTCAATGATCTCCACTTCTGGATTTCTCCTTCCCCTAAACGAGTTTGGATTCCCTCCCACGCAATGGCCTCCGGTGGTCTCTCTGCTTCTGATATCGTAGGATTGGTCTTCAACTCCAACAGTTTCTTCAACATCTCTTTCATCACCATGAATTTTCCTTCAATCCTTTCATTGTTAGAGGTGATTTGATTTTGAAAATCAAAGAATTTTCCCTCCAAATCTGATTTTAATTTATCGATCTCGCCTTCCAAGACTTCTGCCTTCTTCCCGGCCATTTCTCTTCCCAAGAAACACAAGATCTTTTTCCAGTTGTAAAAAAAAATCTGTTTAACTTTCAGAATATTAGTAGCCGATGGTCCCAAATCGATGCTCTGATACTTTTTTTTTTTGATGCTCTGATACTAATTTGATAGGAAATACTTGAGTTCGCAAGTAACCCTAAGGGAATACTTAAGTTCGCAAGCAAACCTAATCGAAATTAGTAAGAAAACAGAGAGAAAACTGCTGTTTACAGTAGTAAATCAGCCCAATCGCAGCAGATTTTGCACAGTAATAGTGAGAAACTTGGAGAAAAACAAAGGAGTTTACTAGTAAATGCGAGACAGCAATAAAAGATACAATGTTCTTCAATTCGAGAGGAAGAACAACTCACCGCAAGTCTTTAGCAAACCCTAGAGCCCAAGCACAAGACAAGATCCCAAATTTTCATTCAAATTCAAGATGATCTCTAATTCCCTCCTATTCCCCTAATAAACATCAAAGGATAATTACAACTTACCTAGTCAGCCCTTACATTCAAATCTTTCCCCTCAAAAATTGCATTAAGCCCTTCATGGGACCCACAGGAGTTCCACCTCCCTCCCTGTTGTTTCTTCCACCGTGCATAGACCAGGACCTGTCCAGGCTGGACCGGTCCAGCCGGCCCCTCCTGGGCAGGTATGATAGTAAGCATAACATAATCCCACAACCATAGCCCCTTTCCCCTATCCGAGCCCCTCCAAACCACCGGCTTACCCTCTCCCTCTTCCATAAGTCGTCAGCCTTCAATGGTCCGCAAGCAGGAGGAGATATCTTTGCCCATGGATGGCGGATCCAGAGTTTGATTCCAGCTTAGTTACGATTAAGAAAGCTTTATCGACATCCCACGATCAACTTTCTTTTATTTCAATTTGGAGTTTGACGAATCCGTGGAAGAATACGTGAACAAAATTCTCTACTAACTATCCACTACCACCGATCAACGCCTCTCATCCATCCGTTGGGATATTGTCCACCGTCCACCGACTTCTTCTACTGCGACTACTTCTCCGGCGAGCTATACCATAAGCTTCACTTGTCTCTTAGAGGCATCACTAGGATTGCTGATATTCTACCTCCGCTAAGACACTACTTTCATGAGCGAGAGTGAGGGAACTCAAGGTGAAAATATCTATTTGTTAAGCCGTGGATTTTTGTTATTCATTGCCGTTAGTTTTACTTATTTATTTTGTTGTTATTTGCATGTATCCTTTTTAATCTCGTTTGTAGCCCCATGCTATTACATAGCTTCTAATTGAAAATTTCGGAATCTAACTTCGTGAAACATAAGGTTTACAATTGGCAAAGCTTTTCAAATTATTATTAATTTCCAAAGCAATTCTTGTTTTCATAAATGTCTCACATCAGAATAGGTCATGTGAGTAGCAAATTGAGTCGCGAAGTCACATGGAGTAATAGTTAATATTGTAATGGGTTGTGAGTACTTACCGATAGAGTTGGTTATTAGAGTGGGTTATGTTAGTGTTTTGTTAGAGTTTTATTTTGATAAATACCACCATAGAGTTATTTGGACATGCAAAAAAAATGAACAATCACCTTCTTAAAAATATTCTTCTTCCTCCTCTAACTCTAAAAAATCCCACATTTTTTTGGGAATTTTGGCAAGGTCAAATTTGTCATTTATCATTGAGATCCTACAAGGTCATATCATCTATGGATTTTATAAACTAATCAACCTATTATGAATAAAAGTTCAAGCAATTTCCATGTACAACATATACAGGTTGCAAGAATTACTTTATTATGCCACATAATGAAATATAAGATGCTTGTTAGAAACATGAAGGAGAAAGGAAGTTCTTTCAAAACTCTTCAATTGGGATATAAAAAATGCATCAAAATGTAACATTCTTCTCTTGTTCAAACGAAAAATGTCTCAACTTCAGCTGAATATATCTGAATCAGTTGTCTTGCTAGATAAGATTAGATAACATGCTTTCCAATGCCACCACCTCTAAGAAATTAATTACTTTCTCCAAACTTGTGGATTAATGGGTATTTCAAATAAAAAGAGACATCAACTCTCCCTAGGCTCAAAGTTTGCAAAATAGGATCATACCACTAAAGGAAAATTACCTTCAGATATAACAAACCTAAATCTGGTAGCGAGGGTACACGAGGATCACAATCCAAGATGCAAAATAATTCAGTGGTGCTTGTATTTCACAAAATATTATCTCCTGAAGCGCCTTGTTCTTCCTCTCAAGGGAAACGAAGACCCACCACCAGGATGTTTATAAATCTGGTTTGCTTCATCTTCGCTGGATTCATCAGATCTCCACTTTGAGCCCACTTTCATGATCAACTGTTCATTTGGAGAATCCCTTTTTTCAACGCTACAATGTGTAATAGGAAAATGTCAATGTAATAAATTTAAAAAATGAAACCCAAATGAGAATGGATAATTAGACAAATATAATTAGTTTGGATTGTTTCTTTAAATATTGATGTTGAATATGATTATCATTTTTCCTGAAGTTAATATTTTAAAAAATGAATCTCATTTGTAATTGGAAATATTAATGTAATAAATTTAACAAATGAAATCCAGATGAAAATTGATAACTAGACAAAAATAATTATTTAGGCTTTGTTCTAGGAAAATGTCATTGTAAGAAATTTAAAAAATGAAACCCAGATGAAAATGGATAACTAGACAAATATAATTATTTTAGCTTGTTTCTTTAAATTTTGATTTTGAATATGATATCATTTTCCTGAGACAGTATTTTAGACGAGAGCTTTCACTCTTACACATTGATTGGGACATTAGAATGAAAGAGAAAAATAAATAGAATTTAGATGTAAATGTTTGTTTTCGTTGATTGGAGTGTCGAGTAGAAAGAAAAAGAATATAAGGGAAAATCTCCCTCAAAAACCAAGATTTTGTTGTGCCAAATGGAAGAAAAAGTGGAGGGAGGAATCTCAACTGATAACTTTACATAATGCCTAAACTAACCTTACATCTATAAAACAATCAAATTTAATTCCATTCCACTTCCCAGGATTTCTTGAATCTGAAATGTTATTCCAGTGAAGTGTTCCATTGCAATATAACTGCGCCATTGTTACACTTTCAAAGTTGTTGAACATCGGAACATAGCATTCAAGTTATAAATGAATACCACTGCAATATATTGCAGTAGAAAAAAAAAATTTCACTTGTAAAGGAGCAAAGGAGATGAAGTTTGAAAAGACTGAAATAAAGATTGATTGCCTAGCTTTCTTAACATTTTTTTTTACTAACGTTAAATACAACAGAAATTTTTCCAAATTATAGCCATCCATTTGCAACTGCAGTCATCAATCCAGATGTAAAAGGGAAAGGATTCTCTACGCATTCTGCACGTGCTGCAAGTCTTAAGCTCCCAACCAAGAGCACATAATCTAATACCTTTTATTTCTCTACTCACGACTCTTTTTTTATTCTTACCTGAGAACCTTGTGTTTTAAAGAACCAACATTAAGTGTTTTAATAACAACATAATTATGGATTGTCAAGCATAAAGCTAAATTAAAATGCATTGATCCTACATTTCCTTAAAAGAAAAAAAAAAATTAAATAAAGTAGTTTACCTCCAAACTTGAGTTGATTCCGTAGGGTTGAACATGCTCCAGGGACCATCTACGTGGTTCTGCTTTCCTGATCTTCTCTGGGGCTCTTCATGAATTGCATTTATGAGAGAACTGTGGTCATTAGAAACATTAACAAGATCCGTGTAATCCTGAGAAGTTAATCTTGTTTCAAGCACAATGGAATTATCACTGCGTCTTACAGAATCATAAGACTTCATTGAATGGGGACCATTATTTCCATTAAAATACTGGCCAAACAAAGACACGTGGAATGGACTTGTATTCAGCTCATTCAAGGACTTAACCTGAGAACCATTTTGAGGACTACCAAAGGAAGTCAAATGCCTCTGTTGAATAGATGGCTCCCTTCTGGAAATGTCCATATAAGTATTGCTAACACTGCCAAATAACTTAATGGGTGCTTCTACTGAAGCCTTTTTTGAAGGAAAATTATTCAGATCAGTGTGAAGAACAAGAGATGGTGACTTCCTGCATGGAGTTGAAGCATTAGCAGGATCCAGTAGCAACTCAGAAGTAGACTCCACTTCCATTTGATCATCCTGGTTAAATGATGGGCCAGATTCAGTGGCATTTCCTGTCATTATGCGTTTACGTTGAACCTCAGGAAGCAGATCTAGACATTTGTCTACTAAAGAAGATCTCCAAAGGGATACTGATTTCATTTCTCTTTCAACATCCCCATCCATATTTTCTAAACAGTTCTGCTCCAAATTTAGGAGCTCACGATGTACTTGACAAGCTTCAATGTATCTACATCGCTGAAGATAGAACACCATAAGAAGGCTGCCACAGATAGATGGAGGACTTTGATAAGCTTGTTCTAGGAGACATTTGTGGATATACTTTTCTTCCGTAGAATCCCAAGGCAATTCAATCATCCTATCAATAAGGTTCCTCCGTATACAGAGCAAGCACATTTCAATCACCAGTATTTCCATATGGTGTATCCATGAGTCAGGCTTTAGAGCGTTGAAAGATAAAAGATCTCCATGTCTGGATATGAATTCCTTCAGGTTATGGGAGTACATTCTTTGATACATAAAGGCTTCTGTCAAGAGCCCACATTCAATTCTTACACGAAGAACAGTCACTGCTTCATCAAGTGACACAATCTTCCCACCATCATCCTCAGAACTATCATATCTGCTGAAGCCATCATGCCCCGTACATCTTAAAACAGTAAGCGCAACTTCAGGACGTCGCCGTTCTAATAAAACTTCTGCCACCTTAGGATGTATGTCTGGGCAAGCAATTTCTGGAAGAAGAGTGCAAGCTTCCTAAAATATTTGTAGTTTCTGGTATTAGCATTTGAAGCTTGAAAAAGCAAGCCTAAGTTTCTTATAAATGCATCTTATCCATTTCTGTCAACTGGCTTATTGCTGTACCAATATAACGTACTATGTAGTCATTTGGTGTCACTGAGACGGAAAACATTCATATATGGACATAAATCATAGCCAATCCATCCATACCTACAGCTTTAGTTGGTGCTACATTTCTTTATGAAATCATGTCATTAGTTTTGATACCTAATAACTAGATAGAAAGCACGGGCATTTGAAGAAAGCAATAAAATCAGTGCTAAAAGGATGTAGCTTCTTTTGAACTCTAAATGGCTGTTCCCGAATAGTTGGGGTAAGGCCGATAAAGCTAGTGATGATAATGATATTTGCCTTACCCTATAGGTAACATGACCCACCTTTGATTTTGGTTTAATGTTTGCAATTATATTTATCTAAAATCAAGGGCTTATTGCACTTTTTCCAATTACCAAAAAAGATCAAGGCTCCAAACATGCTTCCAGTGTGCCCACTTCAAGGAGAGAAGTTAGAAATTGGAAAGAACCAAATTGTGGATCTCGCAACATCACCTATAAGCAAGACAATCCAATAATGGGTCTTACGAACTCACCATACAAGCAGATAAATTAAAGTTGATTTGGTTTCAGTGCAACAAGCATATCGAGGAGATGATAAACCAAGACCATTTGATCAATTAGGACATAACATGATTGAATTTAGGTCCTTGGTCTATCTACCCAATCAACCGAGTCAACATTAAATGTATTTGAATTAGGAACATTGAGGCATTTTGGCAATTTAGGACTCGAAAAGTTATTTTGATAATTTTACCGCCCTATAAGGATATTACAAAAATTTAAGATATGCATGGGCCGGTCTATTGGATCCCTCGGCATAATGTTGGGATATTTCGAAGCTCCATGTACATTAGCACATCCCCTTTCTTTTGTTAGCATGCTCACCATTGCACTTGAAGATAGTTATTTGAGCCCTTATATGCCGTTATATATTTCATACTATCTCTCAATTATTCCAATAAATTGTGGGGAGGCTTGGTGGTATGCATTCTATTGGTTGTATTAGCAAGCTTTTCAATGTGCAAGTATGATTAATAAGGCATCAATACTGTATTAGTTCCATTATAGAATTTAAATCCCTTTTATACTTGAATTTCAATTTTGACTAAGACTTTGATCCCTTGGCTTTATAGCAAAGGTGCACAAAGTTTACATTAAGTTCATTGTGAAAACTTTAACAGATAGAAGCACCACATATAATTAAAAAATAAAACCTACACCATAAAATATTTGCCCTTGTTTTTTTAAGGATTTTATATATTAAAAGAGGCCACGAGGTGTGCTCCTACAGATGCCATAGTGGAGCATGATGCAACTTATATTGTAAGAGATGCTAAGAGACACCCCGACAACTGGCATAGTGGGTTGCAACACAACTTACACCATTAAGATTCAAGAAAAAATAATTGTTAGCAAATAAGCATCTTCACTTTCATTTGATAATTTTCTTGTGTTAAGAAGGCTACAAGTGCCTTAGCAGATGCCATAGTGGAGCATAACATGATAAATGCCATTCAAAAGGATCAGATGAGACTTACATTAAAAAAAAAGAGACTTACATTTTAAGGTTTAAACGAGATATTAATTATTTTGTAAACAGAGAAGACTGCCATTTATTTCTTTATTAATTTTCTTGTATCAAGAAGGCTATGAAGCATGCCTCGCAAAATGTCATAATGGAACAAGGCGCAACTTATTTCGTAGGAAAGGTTATGAGATACAAACTGGATTATGACATAGTAGGGTGCAACATGACTTGCACTCTGGAGAATCAAATGAAAAACATTGGGCTTTGAAGAGATTATAAATCTTTTAATAGATATTACTAACGTCATGCACGAGCGAACAAGAGGCTATATTGAGGTTATGGACTGAAGTTGGGCATTTGATCATTGGAGTTTGAGCGTAGAGTTGTTGAGCATTAGAGCAATGATCGAGAGGCAGCATGTATAAGGTTTCACATAAGTAGAAATGTGGGATTGTTGGATCAAGTGCTAGAGTGCTATAGGGGAGGGCTGCTAACAATTGCTGAAAAAGCGAGAGAGGACATGATGCGATCTTGCTAGGTAGGCTCGTTTAAGGATGCATGGTTGAAATTTATGCATGAACACCTAGTGCAGGAAGAAATGCGACAAAAGCGGAACATAAAGTTGTAAGGAACTGTAGGTGTTGGGTTCAACGAAGTGGGGGGCATACAGAAGCAGATGAGAGTGATTCAAGAAAAGAGAGACTATGAGAGGCATCGAAGGATTTTGAACAGGCAGTTTGCATAAAATAATACATAAAAGAAAAAGGAGGCAAAGGTACCATAGAATATGAGCATGGATGGAAGTAAGACAAATGTAAGAATTTAGCACGGGGCAAAGTTTCTCAATCAATGAAAAATATGATCATGTGAATTGCATTTCACATGGTGTTATGTGAGGGAAAAATGTAGGATCATGTGCTTTTGCATGTAATATTTATACTATGCAACCCTTACGATTGATTATACAGGTATGACTGAACTAAAGAAGATGGCTTATTAGGTTGGCTATTAGGTAGATCTGACAAACCAGGATATGAATCTCTTATTTGATTAATGTTAAATGTTGATAAAAAAAATTAGACAATTTCCCAAATAAACTATAAATAAATATTTTAAATTTGATAGACTAATTGGACTTTAAATAGGCTCCTTAGGCCATAAATCACTTCCACTTAATGATTAACCCTTAATTTGACTAATAGAAACCTGATTAAGCAAATTAACTGTATTTGGGACAACTTTCTTATCGCTTTGCTTTTCAAGCCGCAATCACAATTCTATTTGACTACTGCTTTTAATAAATTTTTGTGCTACGAATATGCTTTTTACATCAACTTTGAAAAAGTTACTTTCTCCACAACATCTTTACAACCACCTTTACAAAAAAATTGCAGCTGTCACAAACAAAACTTAAGTTTAATTGCCCAATTCCGGGTGAACAAATTAGCCTCAATGAATATAGTGCATTTGATGTAGGACTATATGCAATAGCAAATACAATCGATTGGAAAATTACACAAACAGGAATAGAACTTTGCAATTATATAACTTCTAACATTTCTTAGCAAACTTTTAAGCTGATAAATTGGTGATTAAGCTTCAGCAATCCATTACACAAGAAAATATTAGAATCGTAAAAAAATTATATCAAATTATAACATACAAATGTAGGGTTTTTAAAAAGAATCCCTAATTTAACAATTAGAATAGTCACAATAATAATTCGCTCACTTACACTCTTAATTTGGGTCGTGTGGATAAATCTTCATGATCAAATGATGTCAAGATTGAAGGAGGATTACGAGGTGTGAGGAAGGGAGAGAGTTTATGAAAAATAGGAGATACGAGACAACGAAGATGATTTGTGGTTGCTTCTGAAGGAAAGGAAGTAATGTGAAGTCTTCTCAGAAATTCGAACAGCAATCTAGCACCTCCTGAGAGTTTGGACAACGTTCTGATGTCTGGAGAAATTCTGGACAGCAATCTCGCAAGCCTTGGAAGCCTTGGACAGCAAGTGCGTGAAGTTCCAATCTTGGAGTAAGGAGGTTAGGGTTGGGGAATGAGGTGGTCGGCTATGAAAAACTATGGGTAGCACATAGCAACATCAATGGTGGAGGGATTTGAGGTGAGAGGTGGCCCAAGGAAGAATGAAATTATCTCCAAACTTGGGAGTGAATAATTATGGGGAAATTGGGGAAAACGAAAGAAGACATAAGAGAGAGGGAGGGGGGGCAGCTAGCTTGAATGGGGGATTTGATTTAGGGAATCTAGGAAATGATTTCCAATTATATGGGGAATTAATGGATTGATTGGGGAGATTTAATGGGCCTCATAATTAGATGACGTAGAGAGAGGAATGGGCAGCCAAGAAGGGAATTGAGGGGCCTACATGATTCAATGAAGATTTGAGGGGATTGAGGGGCTTAAATGAGTTGCTAATCTAAGTCAATTTAAATTAAGAAAGAGACTTAAATATAAATATCTCTCTATTTAAAGTTCAAAATCAAATGACCTTGATTGAAGGGACTTTCCTAATATAACTCATCTTATTTAAGGAAGAAATTTCAAATTTAAATAAATTCAAATTTGAATTAATTGGCCTTCCAAATTTACAATAAGATAATTTTGGAAAGTAGTGAATGCTAGAATGAATTTGGATCTAAGGGGGAGGGAGGGGGACGGTGGCTTGAAGGGGAGTATTTGGGGTCGGTGGTTAGGAGAGGAATGCTAGAATGAATTTGGATCCAAGGGGGAGGGAGGGGGATGGTGGCTTGAAGGGGAGGATTTGGGGTCGGCGGTTAGGAGAGGGGGAGGTGGTCTTGGGCCATCGATTAGGAGGAGAGGAGGGGGGTTTTGGGGCCGGCGACTAAGAGGTGGAGGGGTGATGTTAGGTCGGAGGGTAGGAGGAGGGAAGGGGGGTTTAGGGCCGGCGGCTAGGAGGGAAGAAGAACCACGAGCCTGGATGCTTCCTACAGCTGATGGGTATTGTTTTTCCCTCACCTAAGGACTTCAAACTCTCCAAGAATTCTCATAACTCTCTAAGAACACAAGTGCTGAAATTTTCAAAATATTAATCATCATCTTCTCAAAGGAGGGGAAAGAGCTATAAATAGCCAAAATGCAATAACATTTCTAAAGAAAAAAGTACCCCCTAGGGTTAAATAAGCTTACTCCCTCAAGTGAGGGTAAAAATGGAAAAGAGTAATCAAATACAAATAATACATCAAAAATAAAGTGGTTTAATCATGGCAGTCGATCTCTGGTTCCTTCTCTGATAAACTCTCTGCGGTTGGATGTCCTCATGGTTCTCTCGGGGTGGAAAGAGGCTCGACTCCGTTGAGTATGCATTTCTAGTGCTCTCATAAATCTCA